TACTGCGTTGACCTTTTCGTGTCCTCATAAAGCGCCGTCAATGTACCGCCATACATCCTAATAGAAGCAACAATTTGGTAGCAGCCTGCATCTTGAATATAAAAGTATTGGAGACGTCTTTTATTCATTTTTTATATCTTTATACCTTTCGTAATTCTTAGTATAGGTTTTACACGATAACGTGTACCCATAGCTCACATGGCATAACATGACTTAGCTTTCGATCGATTGTAATTTATAACGCCTGAATGTTTGAACTCTTTGTAAACCTTTTCTTCTTTCTTCTTCTTTTTTGGACAGTACACTTTCTATTTCAGAGACACTAATTTGCCAAATTGTTGTTTGTATAAATTTTGGTAGGCATTTACTTGGTTCAATTTTGTTTATTGCTAGGGAATGTCCTTAAGTATGTTCTCTGAAAACAGTTACCGTAGAGTACTTGTCCTTGCTTTATAATATGGGTATAAACTCATATGACATTTAATATAATATCATTATCATCATCATTGAATTCCATAACTAATTCACTGCCGAAAAATCCCTCAACTAATGCCACAAAGCACGGTTCTAATCCATCTACACCCATAATATTCATGATAGTAATTGTTTGGAAAAGTGTCCATAGTAATAAATTATAAAACAATAACATTATAAAATATACCTCTTTGTGAAATTTGATCCCTTCAGTAATCCATTCGTGATTTCGTAATAAACGTATCATGTAATATTACAAGAATAATCAAAAATACTCAAATAATTTTAACTTTCGTATCTCCACTCATGCCTCTGTCCCCAGTAGCATTCAAGTAAACACGCGTTGATTGTCTGAAGTCATAGCTACGCTTTTTTCTTCTTCAATTACGCTCATTGGGCTTCGACGTTGAAAGATCCTCGGCCTATTTACCACGAAATGGATCCCCTCAATGAACGACACTGTCCCACTTTATAATAGTTATTAACTCTGTCGAACAGTTTGGATTAATGGGTTGTTTTTAATCGTTAACGGAACATTTAGTAAAGTATGATTTGTTAGTTGTTTGTGTTGTGATACCAACAGATAAAGTAGGCTGCAACTGATAGGCTGAAAAGATAACGTTGGAATTTTGAGATATAGCTACAGAAATACAATCTTGGGACCCTCATCAAAAGATGAAAACCATATTTTCATCTTAATATTATATAATAAATTATAAAATAAACAACATACAATACAAGTGGTATAACTATCGTAAAATATACTAAACTAAAATAACTACGGTATTTCCCCTTATTAATAAACAGCTGTAAGTGATTTAGACCATTATGTACTTTATGTTGCCCATAAATTTTTTTAACAGAAACAAATTGTATTCTTGCGTTTATCGTTTTCATCTATTTCATCATGGTAGAGGCATGCTCATGCGTGGCAGAACTACGGTGCAGCTGTATTATGGTTGTAGCACGAATGGGAACAGGATACCAGCGTAAAGTAGCAGCTTAATCCTGCTGTGTTTTGTATGGTGAATGTAGAGATGCGGATACTCTTTTTTACTTGAAACGAGGTATTCCGTCTTTGTTCTCGGGGGTGACAACGTACCTGCGTTTTGATTATTAACTAATACTCGTAATCAACTTACCATCGGGTGGACATACAGTCATTCGCTCGTTTGTCACCCTTATTCTATTTAAAAAAAAAGTAATAATAATTCTTTATTGACATTTTCATAGTTCACATACTTTTACAAATATATACAATACATTATGAGGACCAATTTGAAATGGGTAGAAACCTGAGTCTCCTAGCTAGGTTACTTAGTAACCTGTATTTATGAGATACAGTGCCATCAAATGCAAAGAAAAATCTGCCTATATTATGATAAATAATTTGTAAAATTTAGATCACTATGAGGCACAGTATACATTAATTTAGATGAACTTTGTGCTGATTTGCCGCCTTTATTTTATAAAATATACATTTATTATTACATATAAGTATCATAACTTGTGTCTAATATACACCACAATCAGTTTTCTCCTTATTCGTAAGCAGCTGTAAGTGACGAGTCTAATAACGAATCTTACCAAATAGCAAAACTTCGCTATCCACACCCCAGCTTCAGAGCAAAAGCTTCCGAACAAAGCGTTCAATATTTTATAGCGCCGCATAAATCTCGCCGCACTCAATAGGCACCGGTAATGCTTGCGAACTATTTTCCATCGAGCAACAGTAGCGCAAGCATCTCGAACTATGTCGTGTAACTCAACGGGGAAACAGCGATGCCGACGGCGGTCGTACCAACTTCCAGATGCACTGGAGTTTCGCACAGTTTACGGATGTTTTAAATGTTATAATTCACTTTATTATACTTGATCCTTTGTGAGCGGAACTTATCCAGTCCGTGGTCGCTAGTAACTTGTTAAACAAAACAAAATTAAAAATGATGCTTATTCGAGAAAAGTTGAGTTAAATAACATGTATTTTTATATAACCCTTTATTTAACTAAAATTTCTTCTTCACCTTCACCATCAGCTTTTAAAGGTTCATCACTGGACATGAGCCTCTCCTCTAGGGACAATTTACCTTGATCGTCACACTTGGCAGGCGCATTAAATCCCTCAGTATTCGTTCTTTAAAAATATTATACCGCCATCTATCACAGCGTTTTCGGGCATTTCCCATGATCGCTCAAACGACACCCACGTTACAAAATGGATGACAGATTTTTTACGCCATCACTACACGGTACTTATAATTTATATATACATAGCTAAAAACTATTTGTTTAAATTAAATCTTATATCTTAAATCATATTACGTGAGTTTTGTAATAAGGATGTTGAAAGCCTCTTTATGAAAACCCTAAATGTACGAAAATTTATTTTCATTATCATAAATCCTATAGTGGAACAAATTGATGGCAGAGGTTTTTTAATTTGTATATTTGAAATTTTATTGTTCGTCTACATCTAAAACTTGTTTTTTTTTAAATAATAATTTATGTACCTAGAGTACAGTTACTAAAATTAATATTACATTAATAAAAATAACGGCTCAGTTGCACCTGAGGTTCAAATTTCTTACAGTACATCAAGCAAGCAAGCTTTCCTTTATAAATATGTATTTTGCAAGCGAGTACTAAACACGAGTAATTAGTACATATGTATATAAATAATATACAAATTTTTTCTACTAGGTTGAAAATTGTCATACGTTTGTAGTCACCTCAAAGGAAGGTGACGTCGTTTCCATTAACGTTTATTCTGGTCCATTACACCTACGCGAAAATTACCTTTGTACTTGCTTGACTTTTAACAAGGTAAATGCCTCAATTTATTACCTTACTACGCGGCATATCATCCTCTATTAAACGGTGGCAGTATGTCGTCTCATATAGTATACCAGATGTAAAATAGTACTCAGATTGATGATTAGGAGCAGCCTCAAAATTGCAAAACACCTTATATTAACATATGCCAATCGGTTAGTTAGCTGTTACGGCAAATACATTCTGCTATGAGAAAGGTACATTTCCAACATGTCTAGTTGTACACTGTTGCCGACTGATGAAGAAAGAGAAGATAATTAGGATCTTAAGTTGGAGCCTTTTTGCTACTCTTATACGTGGTAGAGCCACGCTGCAGCTATATTATGGTTGTAGCACGAATAGGTCGGCACGACCGGGGAAGGACCACGCTCTAACAGAATACCAGCGTGAAATAGCAGCTTAGTACTACTGTGTTTCGTATGGTGAGTTTAGATATCCGGAGACCCTTTTTTACTGGAATCGAAGCATTCCATCGTAGTCCTTATGGGTGCACAACGGGGTGACAAACGAGCACACAGTCCACCCGATGGTAAGTAGTTGCTGTGGCCCATAGACATCTACATCTATCCTTGATTACGAATTAAAATGCAGATGCGTTGTCACCCATGACGACTAAAATGGAATGCTTCGTTTCCAGTAAAAAGGGTCTCCGGCTCTCTACACTCATCATACGAAACACAGCAGCACTAAGCTACTATTTTATGCTGGTATTCTGTGAGAGCGTGGTCCTTCCTCGGTCGAGCTGACCCATTCGTGTTACAACTATACTACTAATATAATTGCAGCATGGCTCTACCAAACGTCTACGTCGTACTACGTCGATTTTATTTAGAGAAGTTCACCAGCTGGAAGTCCAACGTAACATGAAACATAAATGCCAATTGCAGGGGTTTTAGTGAACGCAAAGCCGGTTTAAAAAAATATATCCCTAAAGTAGATTTTTTTCTGTATCGAGGAGACGTCGTTATAAATACATTAATTGTGCATGCAATTGTGCATACATCCAGCTACATGATGCTATTTCCCTTCACCGCCCTGTAGTATTTCAGTATCGTATTTTCGAATGGAAATACAACTGTTTGCTGTTCGACAGAGCGTTGTTCGTTAGTTAACAGGGTGTAAACACATACGAATGAGGTGGGTATTTGGAAACGCTGTATTATCTTCCTTTCACCCATTTATTTTTATTACACATCTTACATGTATGTACAGTTTTACACGTGGTAGAGCCACGTTGCAGATATCTTATGGTTGTAGCATGAATGGGTCGGCTCGACCGGGTAAGGACTCACAGAATAACAACGTAAAATAGCAGCTTAATGCGGCTGCGTTTCGTATGGTGAGTATAGAGAACTGGAGACCCGTTTTACTGGAATCAAGGTATTCCATCTTAGTTCTCAAGGGTGCCAACACATCTGCATTTCGATTCTTATTTGAGGCTAAATGTATATGTCTATGGGCAACATCATCCACTTACCATCAGGTGGACTGTGTGCTCGTTTGTCACCCTTATATTATTAAAAAAAAAAAACAGTAAAAACAATAAAGCATACAAGCCGGGTATAACCAATTCTATAGACGGCATATTAAATAGTTCTAAAATAAGAAACTTTGTATACTTCATATATAAAGTGGTTCTAGTGTGGGGCTCGGTGTAGAGCTCACTCGTTCGTGTATGTACGTATATTACACGAATGGAAGGTTTTTTTTATTTTCTTACTTTGTTTTCATTCCACCACTGTCGACCACGCTCAATAGCTGCATGTGTGTATATACACATAATGGTATTAAAACATTTAATAATTTTGTTGTATTTTCACTATAGTAAGTTTTTACACTATCAGTCATTTCATTATCACTTCGTGGCTTAGTGACTAGAGTAAGTTGCAACTTAGTCATTAATCCTTGGTTCAAATTAAAGGCAGGTCCATAAGTTTAAGTGATCATATGATGTGAAATCTTCGCAGTAATTTCTTAGTAAAATTAATAAAATCAAACAACCCGTATCTAGTTTTGTTGGATAGCAACTATACATTTTATTAATTCTTTCAATGCTTATCTTCTGTATATTTTGAGACTGCAACAATTCTAACAAATATTTAGGCGTCAAAAGGTTATAAGGATCCATAGTTCATAGCCATAGCGGTTATATTTACTCTTGGAACTAGATACATCTGTTACAAAGCAGTGCTAGAATTTAATACGTTTGAAATGCTATAGGCTTCAGTCACTTTAGTGTTTATGAAGTGCATACCTATGAGCACAAAATAGTTTATTGTATACTTTGTATATACTGTATTGTGTCTTTCAAATATGTATATACTGAAATCAGACATAGAAGCAAGAAAAATCTTCGAATATATCGAATGTTTTTGTATGCGATGATATATATAAACTTATTACTGATGATTGTTTAGGGGCGCAGAACCTTATAATCCCTAGTAAGCAAGCGACTTGAATTTTATCCTTGGCACCAATGAATATTTTTATTGAAATTTTATGCTGACTTACCACGTGCATCACATTGGAATTTATCATAGTGAGAAAACTCAAACCTGATAAAAAGGATATTTCGAGGTCATATGAATCCAACTTCAACCAAAAGCAACGTGGTGGTTTTGAGAAGCGGTGGGTGTCCTGCTTTCGGATAACACTACTATATACTATACACTATACATTATACATGATGTTTCTGTAATACATTTTTATATGTGTTGTTTCTGTATTACACAATTACGATATATATTTACTACTGGTAGATTACAAGATTAGTTAAATATATAAATATTAATAAAAAAAACCTTATTACTATTTATTTAATTATTTGCACTTTTATGCACAAAAAGAATACCTATGGCGAACTTAATGCCTTGTAGTTCATAAAGCAATAAATATAAGGATTTATTCCGATACACTTATGCGATATAGACAAGAAAAATGGTTTTATTCATTATTTTATTACCTATTACTTTCACGAAGAATTCATTCATTTTAAACATTTTGCTATTCTTTTATCAGTAAAGTAAAGGTGAACGAAGTTTTCATTATTTATTTTTCTTTGTTACAGCTCAACATGTAGAAATAACACCATTGAAGGCGGTGCGTCGCGTGGGCGACGAACTCACAGTACTGTGTAAAGTGCCCTACCGCATCGACTCTTGTCGGTAAGCATTTTTTTAGTAAAAAGTGTCACTGACGAATATGCCGGAGATCTTTATTTAACCAGCTTCACTAGACAGTAGGATTACTTTTTTCCCTAGGAAGCCATCTGGATATGTACAGCACTTTTACCTATTTCTGCAGTATCTACGTGCGGTGGTCCAGTCTGAAGGGAATAGAGTGCAATAACGAAGTTGTTTGCAGAATTGATGTCCATATATATACACACACACACACACTCACATATATATATGCATACAGGTAGTGGTTTGTTTTAATCCGTTTGCTCCATCTACTTTCTTTGATTGCGGGATTGCTTTAACTGCGAGATTCTGCTTTAAACTTGTCGACTCATTATTATTATTACGTTTGACAAATTATATAAATGTTTATTGCGTACTTTTTAAATTTTTAGTAAAAGATATAAATACATGCAACATGTCTCGTGCCTTCAAACAGTCTTCTTAAATACGTAACGTAGGTAAACCAATTAGCTATTTGTTCCATTGTTAATTGATTTCTGTGAAGACATCATTGTAAATGGGATAAACAACTACAAGGCTGTACGTTTTCGTCGCCAAGTTTAACGTCGAAGTTTGGCATAGTTGAGTTAACACTTGTAGCGGTAAGTTAACTAAGACGTTAAATTCAACCGCGAACAGCTTGCTTCAAGTTTTAGTTGTGTGCCAATTCTTGTAACTATCACGTAACTCGACATAGAGACAACGCGAGAGTTCATTATGTAGTTGCGGCGACGGTGTTTAGTTTGAAAGAGCATTCATTTTATCATTACGGCTAAACAAAAGTCTACAGCTGAGGGTAGGTCTCCCCCATACAGTGCCTCACCGACAGTTAAGATATGAGGTGGTGGATTTTCTAACGCCGTCACAACACAGCGCAGAATTTATTTATAATCATTATTATTATCAACCTTCTTGCTGAGCGATACTGCTGATAGTGAAAGGCGTGGCTGTGCTTTTTTATTAATCTTTGGTTTAAATCTTGTTCGAAACTGTGGATTCACGTCGCCTGTATTGAATGTGTTTTCCTGGTCTCTTTATGTTATTGCCGTTAAATTTCAAGTAAAATGAAAATTTATCCCTATTTTCAACCGGCGTCAAAAAAGGAGGTGGTTCTCAGTTCGACTCTATTTTTTTAAGTGTTTGTGTTTAGACCGGTAGTTTTTGACTTAATGCGTATTTAATTGACTTCGACTACGAGGGTGGATTGAAAAGTACTCGGCCTAACCAAGAAAATAAACACATACTAAATCAGTTATATTTTTATTTTTCTACATAATGACCATCAAGTTCAATACACTTTTGCCACCTCCCCTTCCAAGCATTTAGACCGTTGAAAAAAAATGATTCTTCCTTAGAGTCAAAATATGCGTCTACAGCTGCTTTGACCTCGTCGTTTGTCGAAAATCTTTGACCTCCCAAGTGCTTTTTTAGGTTAGGGAACAGAAAGAAGTCTGATGGTGCCAGATTAGGTGAATACGGCGGATGCGGTAACAGTTCAAAGCCACAGTTGTGAATTTCAGCCATTGACTGTACTGACGTGTGAACACGGGCGTTATCTTGATGAAACAGGACTTTTCTTCTGAGCATTCCTCGACGTTTTTCTTTTATTTCCTCTTGTAAACGACGTAGTAAGGTGCAGTAGTAATCAGAGTTTATAGTCTGACCCCTTTCAAGATAATCAATCGTGATCACACCTTTCGAGTCCCAGAATACTGAAGCCATCACCTTATTTGCCGACAAAATCGACTTAGCCTTTTTAGGGGGTGGTGAACCAGGTCTTCTCCACTGTTTTGATTGTTGTTTTGTTTCCGGTGTACAGTAATGAACCCATGTTTCGTCCATAGTAACAAAACGATTCAAAAAATCATCTGCATCGGCTTCAAATAACTCCAAACAGTCGCGTGAAATAGTCAATTGCGTCCTTTTTTTGTTCAACTGAAAGCAGTCGCGGAACCCACCTCGCAGACACCTTGTGGAAACCCAACTCGTTGACAATGATGTTTTGAGTTCGTTCATAAGAGATGCCTATAATCTCGGCTATCTCTCTAATTTTTAATCTGCGGTCTCCCATTATTAAATCAAGTACTTTTTTAATATTTTCGTCAGTAGTTGACGTCGAAGGCCTTCCAGAGCGGGGTTCATCTTTCACACTCTCTCTACCACGCTTAAATTCTGCTATCCATTTTTTGACGGATGAATATGACAGAGCACAATCGCCTAATGTACTGACCATGTCATCATGGATGGCTTTTGATGATAGCCCCTTCTTATGGAGGTACTTAATGACGGCACGCTGCTCGATTTGCTCCATTCGCGTAAATTATGTCCGATTACTTTGTTAATAAATTTATAAAATCACAACTAATTATCGCACACGTTTCGAACTTCACACAATGAACTAGTCTGAACTGAACTAAATAATGTGGGTAGATTTGATTTTTAGAATTGAATGGATCTGTGTTAAGCCGAGTACTTTTCAATCCACCTAGGTACATTGATGATGTTCTCATTTTATTTATATTGTAACGGGTTGTACAAAATTTTAATTTTGCCTCTTATATAGATTCTATTAGAGATGTATATAAATACCTAGTCTATCACGAGAAGTTAGAATGTTCTTCCAACATATCTAACTACTCAGATATTGTTTGAATTTATTTTTAGTTTATATGCCAATTTTGTGAAAACGAAATATATAAAACCACTTTAGACCATAAAAAGTATTTATTAGTTTCTACCTAGAGCCAACCTTGTTTATCTAGTCGGCCTAAAATATTTCCCCGGAGTAATACTTAAAAATTTCTGTAAAATGATACTAATGGAAGAAATTACCTAGACCATGCTTTGTTTTTTCAATTTCTTGTACACGGCCGTTTTCTGCATTGTTAGAAAACTCATCATTATCGTCATTCCCGCTCTTTCCAAGACCATTGCCGAACAAAGGCCTCCTCCAAGGAATGCCACAAAGCAAGATGTTTTTTTGTTATAGTCAACTAATATTCGTAATATTTTTCATATGTTGTAGCTGCAATGTTAATTACTTAGTTCATTCGTTTGACACGAAAGGCTGTCAATATTGTCACAAGCTTTGTAAAAATTTATTATACTAGTAGGAACATTGCACCTTTGTTTAATTATTGTCTATATTTTTTCAAAATCCATTCAAAAGAATTTTTTTTTAAATAAATAACAATGGTGATAATAAATTTTATTTTTTTTAATTTTCAGAATGACTGTGGGCCCGACGTCCTACCGACTGATACCCAACAATCAAGGTGACGTGGTTTATGCAGGACAAGGCTTGGAAGTAAGTAACACTGCTTAAATTTGAATTTTAAACAAATAATGTTTATATTTACATTGTTTACTTGTCGAAAAATTAAAAAGCAAATGTGTGTACTGAAAAGCAAAAGTGTAGAACTAAACGTCTTAATAAGATATAATCGAAATCTGTTGTACAAGTATGTTGTTGATGTGTTATATTTTACAAAAAAAAAAAAAACACAAAAACACTATATAATCCAACTTTTGCGAACTTATGCTCTGTTAAACCTCATTACACGTTTTTGCTCAACCTCTGGTGTTTTAGGTGGGTGAATGCGGTGCTCACATCAAGCACATAAAGGAAGAATGGAACGGGAACATTTCCTGCGTTCTGCCGCCGAAATCCGGCAGCATCGAGGTTACCGGCACCATGCAATTGTTGGTTGCAAGTAAGTAAAACCAAATTTTTATTAATTTTGATATCACAAAATATTTATATTTATTATTAATTTGATTGATATACAATCGACTACCACCAGAGAGTTTTCCGGACCGTAAGTCGTATACTTAGGGTCCTTCAAGAAAAGAGCCTACTCCTTTTTTAAAAGGCTGGCAACGTATCTGCAGTTCCCCTGGTGTTGCAGTTGCTCATAGGCGGCGGTAATCATTTACCATCAGGTGAGCCGTATGCTCGTTTGCCCCCTCTACTATAAAAAAATATGTTATAAATTGTGCCTATGTTCCGTAATAGTCCCTCAGAAATCTACTGAAACTTAGGCCTCTCGTATAGATTGCCTCATAGGCGTGATACTTGCCAACTGCCGCAACTGCAGTTTTTTCTAATTTTTGAGTAGTTATTAGGAAGATGCTGCTGTTCACCTCCTGATTGGTTTTCCTCTGTCGCCTCTTACGACACTCTCGGGATGATGTCGGGTGGTTGATATCCTTGCACCACCACCACACGGCCGTTCATCAGTGGACTTTTGACAGGCTGGGATAATGATAAAGATGATGATGAATTAGATTTTTTTTTTAATTTCGACAATAGGATGACAAGTCCACAGCCCGGCTGATTGTTATAGGCTGGTTACAATCCATCGTCACCAGTAGCCAACTACAAAGGGAAAAAGTCAAAGATGTGGTGTCGCTTGGACACATTGAGATCACATTGGCATGAATGCATATATGAGTAGTAAACCGCCTCGAACAAGGGGAGAATATAATAACATACATAAAAAAAACATAACGTTAGTGCGGAATAATTCTCACCGACAAACGGTTTTCGTCAGAGTTGTACTATATAGCACTGTCTTGTCTGTTCTACGTGATTATTATGTTCTCGTGTCTGCGATATTTAATCTAAACTATGAATATATTATCTATGAACCTAACATGAATCTGATCGCGTAAGCTCTTCTCACGTACCGCCTTAATTATGAAAAGTGGTTTCTAATTAGTTTAGGTTTAAACTAAAGTCTGTTTCAATAAAGAAGTCCCGTGGGAATGTGTAAAGTATGGAATTAGCCAGCAAATTTCAATTACGCGGAGACTGACGCCGCAGCTAAGGGACTTCTTTCGTGAGAAGGATTCCTCTTAAACCATTATTTGAATCCAACACTACAAAACAAAACTATTGTATTGTAATTAGATAGTAGAGTAGGGGTAAATGCCTCTCGCAAATGTTATGTAAAAAAAAAGAAATTGCGATCTTACGGATTTGCAGTTGGTAGAATATACATTTGAAAATTGCTTATAAACGAATACAAATATAAAAAAAAAATTCTATTTTATTGCAATAAATAAAAAGAAAAAGTTCTACACTGGGAATTATTTAATAAAGAAAGTGCATGTAAATTTTCACTTCAAATGTATACTCGTATCCCTGACGACGTTCTTAATCGAGATATGAATGATAGTATCTTTATAATAAAAGTTAAATTTTAAAATGTACTACACAGGGCCACCTGGCGATATTCAACTGATTACGCCGCCGCAGTCATCTTTCAAGGAAGGCGACATTTTTATGGCGCAGTGCATTGTACCTAATGGAAGACCAGCGGCCAAGATCACCTGGTTTTTGGGTAAATATTTAAAAATTAGTCCTTTTTTATTTATAATTTTAAATAGGTTTCCTCATGGTTGTAACCTTATTTTTGTTTTATAAAAGTTAAGATGGTTAAATTAGGGATAATAATATTCGTTGATATAAAAAAGTCACACTTTACACCTTAGATTTTATTGCCTAAGGTACTCTCTGTAAATTCCACAGTATGAAAGCGAGCACTCTTTGTATGGTAACATTTTCGTGTTACATATTATAAGCTAGTGGTCCACTACGTTCCCACCTGGTGGTAAGTAGTGATGAAGGACTAGATGGTATATCGCACTGCCTTAGCGTAACAAAAGTCTACTCACTCTTGCCTTGAAGACGGATCAGATTGTATTCGGACGTAAAGACGGACGCTGGCAAATTATTCTACTCCCTTGCTCTATGCATTTCAAAAGACTCGTTTGTTTCATCATGGGAGCAACAAAGGAACCCTATTTTCTAACAATAGTAGATTATAAAACATGTTAACGTTTTACGAACGAAACTTTTATTTCCTACGTCGAAAAAAAAAACGATTCGCGAGTGGTCAAGTTCCCGCCAATGGAGGCATCCACTACTTTTTCTGTCATCAGGGCGGCGCTACTTTGCAATAAAGTGAAATATTTGACAAATTTCATAGCGGAAAAGATAATTTCTTAAGAAAATGTATGGGTTTAAGTATTATTTCTGTATTATTTGTTATATTTTGTATTAAATAGATTAGAAATGAATAAATCAAACTATGGATATAACTAAAGGTAGAAAAATTAAAAAAAAAAAGAGTTAAAAAGTGCAAACAATTTACTGATCAAATCACTGAGGCATTGTTTTGAGACACTAGAAAGCGATAAACTATTATATAAAAATTATTTCTCAATCAACTGACATTGTGTAACAAAAAACTTGACCACAGATACAACTAGCGACATCTGGTGAGTGGAATCTAACCATGTGTTGTTCCACAGACGAGGAGCAGGTGCTGGCGGGCACGCACCAGCCGATCATAACGTCGGAGCCGGGCAGCGACCTGCAGACCATCAGCCAGAACGTGAGCCGCGCGCTCGTGGCCGACGACAGCGGGCGCCGCCTGCTCTGCCGCGCCGAGCACGAGAGCCTCGACAAGCCCAAGGAGGCCAGCAGGCAGCTGCTTGTGCATTGTGCGTATGCCTTCTAACACGCTTTTTTTAACGTAACGGAATCTTTTAACGTACGGAATCTTTTAACGTAATTTTCAACAACTTGTTGGGATCACCAGGATAATTAGACCACCATTCTCCAATCATCACACCTCATGATCAAAGTGTGTTTTTTTAAGTTAAAGTTTAACTATGTTAAAGAGGATATCGCATTAGGTTCGCTTGTAAGCATAGATGTCTAAAGTAATGAATATTAAATAAATAAACTAATAAAATAGATTTAAGTATATATTATTCAATATAGATTATAAAAATACTTATTAAAAGTCATTTAAGCTGTACCAATGGTCCAGAAAAATCTCTGTCCAGGAGAGGAACCAGCAAGATACCCAACGGGACGTTTTTTGAACATTAATTTACAATATAATATTTTATATAATTAAATATGAAAACATTTAGTAACAACATGGTATAATATTATAGATCCAATAATAAAATGTATAATATTGTAGTGACAATCAAATAAATAAATGTATAACATAGTTCACCGTGTCGTGGCGGTGTAAGAATATCTACTACCCTATACTATCCCGTGGATGTCATAAAAGGCGACAGAGAGGAACAAAACAGGATAAGTTAAGTGAAATTTTAAAAAACTGGTTGGTGGTTGCCAATACGCCTGGCAATCACAGTAACTCTGGCAAATATCCTTCCTATAAGGCAATCTATGGCGGAGGCCTATATCCAGCAGCGGACCTTCAATAGGCTTTAATGATACAATTGGTATGTTTAGCAAAAAATAAAAGCGCTAGGAAGCGCTTGTAAGCAAAATGGCGAAACTATACAGTTTTCGGCCAGGACATGTTTGCTAACTTCAGTAGCGCTGACACAATCCGCCATTGTGCTTATTTATTTCGTTTGCTTTGAAGTAGAGTTTATAAGTTGTTTTGTGCAATTAGTTTCATGTAATATAATGACATGAATAAACATATATATGTTATTAAAAATTCATGATTGGTGAGTTTTTATTATGAATACTTTACAAACATATATTTAAATTCGGTTAGGTTCCCCGGTTAAAGCTAGCTTAGTGTCCTAGAGGAAAATAGCTATTTACCATTTGACAGCGCTTACCGCTTACGATCGCCATTTTGCTTACAAGCGCTTCCTAGCGCTTTTTTCTGCCAAACACAGCCAATGTTATAGTGACAATCTTTCACTATTCGGGGAGAATCTCAAAGGAATCCGTCAACCTATTTCGTCCCGTGGGTGTCTATCGTAAGAGGCGATTATAGGAAACACCAGAACGAAACTTATGGATTTTTGATAGATGGGGATATAACTATTTCATTTACCGTTACCGTTATAGTCTATTAACATTTCATTTACGCCAGGTGTTAAATATTGCTTTATCAATGCAAGTCTGAGGAAGACGGGAAAGGTTTCGCAGTGTAGTTGCGACGTAAAGGAATCCACTACTACATGTTTTATACGTGGTAGAGCCACGCTGCAGCTATATTATGGTTGCAGCACGAAATGCTCGGCTCGACCGGAGTGTAGAGATCCGCATACTCTTTTTTACTGGAAACGAGGCATTCCATCTTAGTCCTCAGGGGTGACAACGCATCTGCGTTTTGATTCTTAATCTAGGATAAATGTCTGTGGGCCACAGCATCCACTTACCATCGGGTGGATTGTGTGCTCGATTGTCACCCTTAATAAAAAAAACAACTACCCTATATCGTGACGTAAAAGTAACCGTAAAAGGCGCAAAGGAAAATGAAACAGCGGTTGGGCAGCAGCATCCTCCTGATAATAACTCAAAACAATAAAAACCTGCAGTCAATCCGTCTGCCAAGTATGGCAACTATGGCAAATGAGGCAATCGATGGGGAAGTCCTATGTTCAACAGCGGACTTGACTTTGTCTTGAAGTTGACGAGGGAAGATCGATCCCCTCCAACGAGACAGAATCATGTCCAATAATGGACTTTAAGGCCGATGAAGAAGTGGGAAAAGAAATGTGTAGTGACAACCCAGTTAACTGCACCAGATTGTAAGTGACTGTTGCGGCGCTGTCGTCGCGCCACAAGCGAAACACATCGAAACCTAAATCGCGCTATCAAAGCTCCGAATCAAAAACAGTATAAATATAGAATAGCTCCGAACTATCAAATGGAGCGTTAGCCGCTCCTCGGGCAGAACACCTTGCCCGAAGAGAAAATTTCCCTTTTCTTTCCACGGCCAAAGACTTACTGTAGCACATGACCACCTGCAAAAGACTTCATATAAAGAATTATAAAGTTTCTGTCATATTTAAGGATTGGCTATACAACTTTTAGGACCTCGGAATACAGCAGAGGATGCTAGTTCACAGCATAAATAGGTTAAGGGAGTGTTATCCACCAAGACGGACTCAGAGGCAGAAACAGGACCGTACCTTTTTTACAATGGTGTTTTTTGTAATTTTAAAATTTAGAGCATTTGATAAAATAAATTTATAAATATTTAGAAGTATCTTTTTTCGATACCGATTTATGGATGAGAAAATATTACAAGATTATATTTTTATATCCTTGTACGTAAACTGGGTGCCTTTCATTTTTTTTGCCATGTATAATTCGCTTATTATTTCCTACAGATCCACCAAAACGTCTAGACGACAGCTCTACCATCACGATCTTTGGACTGAAGCTGTCAGCGGAAGGTCGTCTCAATGTGACTGTACGATCCAACCCAAGGCCTCATGCCGAGTGGACAATTGGAGACTTGAAGTTGGTCGCCCCTCAGAAAAACGAAGATGCCTCCATCGAAGCGCTCGAGCCTGACCATTTGGTAAATATTTAGCAGTTGACGATCTGATTACTTTACAAGCTTTTTATGTAATAGAGCCATACTGCTACTGTATAGGGCTGCGGCCAGTGGCGAAGCTAGGGCTCCAAACTAGGGCAAGCCCAAGATATGGTTTTGTTGTTTTTAGCAGTTTTATAAAAATACACCAATCTTGATCTGTCTCCACTCTTCAGTTTCATATTCAGTGCTGTCAAGGATGTGTTTAACAAAGCACACAGAAGGCAAACTACTACTAGATAGATTGTATGACATATCAGCAATTGCATACCCTCGGTGGCTTTAAAAAAAGCCGTTTGGGTTTGCTTGAGCGAAAGAAAAAGATATTTACATATAATACTATACATAAACAAAGTACAAACAAATTACATATGTACAAAATTAAAAAATATATATATTTATATTCTAAATTGAATGGTCTCTCTTTCTTAAGGAAAGATTTAATTACGTCCACGGTGAACGGTTATTGGTGAACGTTTTAATTATACCGATAAATGTTTTTCAATTATGATAATTGATAAGTCGGAAAGACACTCCTGACCTTGTGTATTTTCTAAACAAAGTCTAAAGATTTTACCTTTTCTTCGCCGATTAGCACTTTAACACAATTTAATTCATCACAAGGAACACTATTTATTATCCTCCATTTTTACTAAAAATCTTTGAAAAAGCATAAATTTTCAACAGACACAACAAAACTTAACATAAACATTGAAATGTGAAGTGAAGTTGCAAACGTAACGCCCGCGCTCCCGCGCACTCAAAAACAACTTCAGAACAAAGCCTGGCATTTGGTTCCATAGTAATTGCTATATAAACATTTCGTAGTTATTCATTATAGAACATTTTGCCACAGGTAAGAAAGGGAACGATCGTCTTCTCGAAAGCCCGGTAAAAAGCCAACGCGTGCGAGAGAGACGACTAATCGCTCAAATCAACTACTTGCTTTCATTAATTTTGCGTGTTCGCTTGAGACAGAGAGAACACGAATCAGTGTATTTCGAATTGAAAGAAAATTGCCAAGTGTTGACGTTACATACCTGTGTAGAACAGAGCAGCGCGCGGGAAATTTTAAGTAGTTTGAAACAGTTTACGAGTTATTTTCTTAGTTGATATTATTGACTGAGCAGTTTGAAAGGGCAAGCCTGGCAATAGCCAAATATGGCTACTATGGAGGCTTTGCCACTGGCTGCGGCACGAATGGGTCGGCTCGATCAGGGTAGGACTACGCTCTCACTTAATACCAGCGTAAAACAACAAAATAATGCTGCTGTGTTTCGTATGGTGGGTGTAGTGAACCGGAGACCTCTTTTACTAGAAACGAGGCATTCCATTTTAGTCCTCAAGGGTGACGCATCTGAATTTTTATTCTTAATCGAGGATAGAGATTAATGTCTTTGGGCCACAGCATTTACGTACCATCAGGTAGACTGTATGCTCGTTTGTTACCTATTAGGACAGGACATGTATCACAAGTAAGATTAGGCTATATAATATGATGCAGTTAAAGACAAGGCATAAACACTACACAACCATACCCCAGAATCTGATTTCAACACAAATCTTGGCTCCAAACTCGTTTTGAACTCAGGATCCAGGCATATTCGCCAAATACCACTAGGTCGACCGCTATTTAAGGTAGCATTTTGTTTTTGCAATACATGATTTTTTACCTATCCCTAGGGCGGGGGCTATTACAACGTGACTTTGCTACTCTCCCGCGTGGCCAAGGAAGATGTCGATCGCACCTATTACCTGACAGTCGCCAATGACCTGGGACGTGAGGACTTCTCCGTCCGTCTTAGCACTATGGACGAGCCCGCCGGTAAGCCTAGAGTCAAACTTAAATAAATGGGTGCGTTTGTCAGAAAAAAGCGCTAGCAAGCGCTTGTAAGCAAAATGGCAGAACTAAACAGTTTTCGGCCAGGACACGTTTGCTAACTTTAGTAGCGCTGACACAATCCGCCATTTTGCTTATTTAATTTGTTTGTTTTGAAGTAGAGTTTATAAGTTGTTTTCTGCAATATTAGTTTTAAGTAATATAATAACATGAATAAACATATTATACATGTTATTAAAAATTCATGATTGGTAAGTTTTTAATATGAATAATTTACAAATATATATTTAAATTAGGTTAGGTTCCCCGGTTAAAACTAACTTCGTGTCCTAGAGGAAAATAGCTACTTACGATTTGACAGCGCTTACTGCTTACGATCGCCATTTTGCTTACAAGCGCTTGCTAGCGCTTTTTTCTGCCAAACGCACCCATTGTGATAAAAGTTTTACCGAAGTTCTAACACGGCGAGGTTTCTGTTATTTCTTCTTTAAAAACTTTGCTACAGATCAAAAGTTGTTTTTTTTTTATGTGAATAATTTATTGTAATTTGTATATGTATGTTCAAGGAGGTTTTAATTATAAGTCGTTATGAATTGTTATTTAAACAGGCATATTTTGTGTTATATATAACGAGATGAAACATAAAACATTGTTTATTTATTGGAATTTTTCAAAAAGTATAAATATAATATTATATTTTCACAGCTCGTAAAGCAAAATCTTCGTTTTTGATAATCGATATATACGGTAAGAAATTATACTAAGAATGGTAGTTTACAATGAATGAGTAGGATGTCATCTAAATCATGATTCTATGTTAAATTTGAAGCCTGATTCTTTTATTGTAGTATTAAATACGCTGTTAGGACGAAATTTTTTTTTTAATTTGCGGATCGTACGACTTTTTAAAGCATGCTGTAAAATTTTCATGTCCCCAGTAGTATAGAGAAAATGCGATATGATGATTTGCTATTGGTAATATGATATTAATAAAGCATGTTCTGAGTTTATGTTATATAAAGAAATTTCTCTAAAAGCGTTACCCTAACTAACTAAATATTGCTTTTCATAATTTTGCATTTATACATTTTGTATGTGTTTTTATTTTTTGCATCTAAAAATTATTACATTAGATTCTGTTGTGCAGATAGTATTGCTAGCTTCTAAGAAAAAATATGAATTACTTCATAATTTGTTACATTATGTGTTATAAGAAACCAAGTAGTTCGTGTTCGTAAATAAGTCTGTTCTATTTTCGAGCTTAAGCTCGAAAATAGAACAGACTTATTTACGACTTATTTCTAGCTGTCTTCCTGCGATAATTTAGAATGCATTTTAAATCGATTTTAAGCTATTGCATAGCTTCTATCGCGGGCCTTGAGCGCGGGGACCGAATCCAGAAATTCCGTAACGAAAAAAACCTCACGCTCCCCACTCCGACGGGCACGGAGGTGTGGCGTTGAAAGCCGTGCATTGTCTAACGTCGTTTCAGTTCGGCAGACTTCGGCACTCGGCAGACTTCGGCACGGTGTTTGTGTGCGTGTACACTAGCTGCTAACTCAATGATAAAAATTCCTGAATAACCTTACATGTATTGTAAGATATTAAAAATATTTTAAACAATATTAACTTCTTATTTATTCAATAAGAAAAAAAATTTGTTTTCTTATCGGTCACCACGCTTAAAAAGTGTAACTTGATTTAATATCAAAGACTTAACTGCATAAATAAAATAAATAAATAATTATAATTGCATAAGTTGATAAAAAATGCTATGCAATAGCTTTACCGCGGCAGTCACCGAGTGCCACACGTATTTTTTATAATACTTTGGTGCAAATATTACTCTTCCAGTCTTAGAAAGATTTATTGTATTGTTTTAGTAGAGCATCGTCTGTCGCACAAGTACTAATCAATTTTAGAGTTGAAATTTTTTTTTTTAAAAATGAATTAAATAGACCTATATAAAATGCAGACTTTACATATGTTTATTATATACTTAATTCACTGGACTGGCGGTGTAAAAATATCCACTACCCCATATCGTCCCGTGGATGATGTAAGCGGCGAGAGAGGGAAATGAAACGTTAGATGGGCAGAAGTATCTTGTATCAAATACTGAAAATAGTAAAAAAACTGCGATTGCCAATTCGCTTGCCGAGCATGTCAACTATTGTAAACTCATATGATATGAGACAGTGTATGGGAGAGGCAAATTACAGACAGTCAAAAGAATTTTTGATAGGCTCAAATTGTAATGGTAATATTATATTAAATAATAGTATATAAATTTAAATTTAAATAATAGTTTATTTCGCTCACGAAACAGAAGCAAATCGATTGTGGCCGATGTAGAAGGTAGTCTCTTAGGCTCGATGAGTATTTACCCGTAGTAAATGTACGTATTATGATTATTAAGTCATAACTTTATCATTTATAACCATATTTTACTTACAGATAAATAAATTAACAGTTGTAGATTCTGCTATTCTGCCATGCGTCATTTCACACTTCCTATTTTAAAATATTTATGGAAAAATAAATTACTAATTTATTAATTCTACTCAAATATTACCAAACATTTACGAATAATAATAATTATCATTATAATTATCAATGCAATTATTTTGCCATTATTTAAAATACTTTTTTATATAGGTGTTGAACTGGAAACGGGAGCAATTGTGGGGATCGTAGTGGCTGTCTTGGTCCTACTTATTGGTATTTTCCTCATCGTGTTCGCTAAAGCTACCGACAGATGGTGTTTTGCAGGTTAGTGTCTTTTTTATCTATAAGAAATATTTCATTTACGGTTTAATGGAAGCGTATGGAGTAAATCAAAGTGGAAAGAATATCAATTATCTTTTCTAATTTGTTTTACAAAAGTGTTGAATATGGCAAGAATAAAAAATTATTTTAACTTAACTTTTAAATAAAATCAATAAAAGACAACATGCGCTTCCGTAAACATTTCAAACAAATCATGAATGATATTTAAAATAAACATTGTCTCATCTTCCCTTCGTTTGTTCACAACTAACTTAAAAGGCGATGCAGTTTGATTATTTTAAACAAACGCCGCACTGTCCTTAACGTTCGTAAGCTATCGATTCATCATAATACTATAAAAATGTTCACCAAATGCTGAATCACTGGATAAAATTGCTAAAATCTTTGACAAAAACCAATTAATCATCCGCAATGATGTTTTAATTATTATCCTATAGAAAGTAATGCCTTTAAAATGCTAATGGCCAAATACACAAACGTTAGTTTTAAGATGTCGTTCTCGTGGTGTCACCGTCACTTGGACTTAAAGTGATAGAGACAGCACTAGACTTTACGGCATTGTAAAATTGCATTGTGTGCGTTTAAAAAAAAACTAGCGCAGGTGAATTTGATCGATAGCTTACTTAATTCTTCATGATGCATTTTGTTATTTAAATTGCTTCCTTATTTGCTTCAATACCCCTCATGAGTATTTAGGCATGCCCTTTAATGCTACTGTTTAAAAAAATTCAACAAAACTAATACAAATGGATATCCAACAGGCTCAGGGGCAGTTGGTCGATAGGTAAACACTAGATTTTTTTTTAATCACACAAAAGCTCACAGATCAATCACGTGTTACAGCTTACCTTATAATGTTCCAAATCATAAAATAATTCATGGAATGGGCGAGTCATGTCTTTGCTTTATACCTAGTACTCTGGAATTAAAAAAAATCGTTGACAAACCATATTTGCGCTAAAGCCATTTAATTATGAACTTAAATTCAAAGTGCATACACTCGATATTTGTAAATTAAATCTCTGGCTCTGTTTAGGGATGTTGACAAAGACATTTAAGTAGTCATATACCTACTCGTAGGTATTTAAATTTTTTGGCTGTTGCCCACTGTAACATCTCAATATCAACTCGTCTCGTAGTGAGCAAAGATTTAAATCGTAAACTATATTATGGTTGCATCACGAATCGGTCAGCTCGACCGGGGAAAGACCACGCTCTCACAGAGTATCAGCGTCAAATAGCAGTTCAGTGCTGCTGTGTTTCATATGGTGAGTGTAGAAAACAGGAGACCCTTTTTACTGGAAACGAGGCATTTCATCTTAGTCATCAGGGGTGGCAACGCGTCTGCAGTTTGATTCTTAATTGAGGACACAGCATCCATTTATTATTAGGTGGACTGTGTGCTCGTTTGCCATCCTTATTCTAAAAAAATCCAAGATGGAATACCCTGTTCTAGTCTACTTCTGCATGAGCCTTGCATTGAATATTTTTCTACAATTGAGTGTATGCCTTAAACTCATATCGCAATACCGTTTTAGTGTTTTCAGTGTTTGTACTGAAACTACACTGTACTTTTTTATTTTATTATAGGTTTAACACCTTAACGCAAATACGGTTTGCTTTAAAATATAAAAAAATGCTACGTCATTTCGCACCACAAATAAAATAATACAGTATATGTGCGATTTTGTTACTAGTATTTTTTATATTGGCTCCCCTACTTTTTATAGAATATACAATATACATGTGTATGCGTATATTTAGATTTGGTAGCAATTGTTTGGCTGTTGTAGATTTAGAAAATAAGAAGTGTAACTTGGCAGTGTTTTTTTTACGAATGTCCTTGTGCTTGTCGCATAATTGTGTAGTTATATATGTTTAAGTTGAATAAATTGTTATTAGGTTAAAATTTCTGAATTTACTGCATAACAATATATTGAGCGATCAAGAACCCTTATAGTGTTGAAAAGTTTTTTTAATTGAATGATGCATGACTTATTTTCTAAGTCTTTTCGGCGCACGCAATGGTGGATGGTTTTGTGTTACTTACCCCTTCTTCATCTTTTACCCGTTATTCTTTTCTATTTTAAAAAGAGCATGGTTGCATTTAATAATTTTAAAATTATGCATGACTAAATATTGATTTGAGTTTTCCATAATATGTGCAATTTTCTATTGAAGTTTGTAAATTCGACTAATAAAATATGCTAGTACACTTACGTATGCATATTTCTTTATCTGTAGAAGTAACTAGAAACAGTTGAAACAGTAACTAGTTTTGATTTATATAATGATCGATACAATATTTTATTAGTCAATTTTTTCAAATATTTGTTATTTATAAACCTTAAAGGTGGAGGATGTTTTAGCTAATCTTGTGTAACTAACTTTATTCTATTCGTTTTACAAACAATAATTAACAAAAAGTTAAGTATAATACCTTCCATTTAACGAAATTGTTAAATATTATTAAAAATACTTTTGTGGATTTAAATGTTAACTAATACGCCAAAAATTAAATAAACAAATAAAACCAAATTAAATTTAAATAACTAAAGTTATTAATCAAAAAATGTTAATATACTCTTAGGTACACATTGACAAAATGAAAACAGAAAACTAATTTATTTATTGGTTAAAACTACTTTTAAGGGATTTTATCTCGTTTACTTTAAATGAATTTTAATTCCCGACGTTTCGGGTGCTTTCCAGTACCCATCACGTCGGCAGTACCCGAAACGTCGGGAATTGAAAATAAAATAAATTAAACGCAATAAAATCCATAAAAGTAGTTTTAACTAATGTGTTGTGTTCGCGTAAATATAAGAAATCATATTTTATTCATTTAAAAACAAAATATTCCGAGAAACCGACGAAATTTTCCAAATATGTACAGGCAATGAGCGACAGACAAGAATTTAAATTCTTCTTTGAATCAAAACACATAATATGTAGGTGTGCTGGCTACCATGACTAATTGCCAGGATTACTGTAACTGTATTATATACTTGTTCGTCACCGACTTTTATAAAAACTGTTCTAGTATTACTAAGTAATTATACTAGTGTACTAGTTTTATACGTGATAGTCACACTGCAGTAATATTATGCTATAAACTCGTAATATAATGCTATATGCATAGTGATAGCCTACACAAATGGGTCGGGGGAGGACTACACTCTCGCTGAAAAAAAGCACCTTATTGCTGCTATTCGTAATGAGCCAAATAAAACTGTAAATAATATCAATTCAGATAATAATGAGATTCTCTCGAAAGTCGTGATACAATCTATTCTATTAAAATACTTTAATTACATTATATTAAAAATGTTAAAAGTTAATAACATAGGAATGAATAGTTCCAAATATAAAATGAACAAACTTCCCAACAACAAAATCAACACTTAATAAATACAATCTAAAAAAGTAAAATATTTTTGAATTATAGCAATGATCAAGTGCTGCAGTAATTAATGATAAAGTTAATAAAAATGCCGACACGAATAAAATAGGTGCGTCATTTTCTACTATATATTCGTTAACATAATAAATATGCGCGGAGTCTCAGTTTAAACTCTCTTCGTAATCGTGATTAAATGTAATACTATTAAATGGAATGCTTATAAATGGTTAAAATACTTATAAATGGTGTATATGGGCCACGCAACCATTTAGATACCATCAGGTGGACTGTGAGCTCGTTTTTCAACCATGTTCTATTAAAAAAAAACTTTAAAAATTTCCAATAATTAAATTCTGTCAAAACTGTCTCAATCAAAATTTCAAATTTTTTAGGATTGTAATTCGGTTTGCATATTTCCCGAGAAAAATAAATTGTTTTTGGTACATGCGAGATACATCGAAAACTGGAATTCTGGATTGGAATTCATAAAAGCCTACCAAAAACAGAGCGATAACACCATGACTTACTAGACTAGTACTTACTTAATTATCGAAGTACTTATATAAACGACAAGGGGAGAAAATGTGAAATTTTCTCACATTTTAACAGAAAGTATAGCCTATGTACGTACCACGGCGGAGCTCCAGTGGAGCGCCACGCCACGCCAGAGTGCTGTTGGCGAAAAGTACATCCAAAAATACTAAGCCCAAATTCTATAGACTTTTAATGGTGTTGGTAGCATTACCATCGCGAATGTATCAGTTCTGCGATCGACAATTCTATCCTAGGGAAACCATAACGTGGCGAAATATTCTCTTTTAAAAAGTGCATGTCCCACGCATTTTGCACTTAGCATTAGACTGGCAAATGGTGTGTCACACCTCAGAGATTACTTTCGTAGTGGAAAAATTATATTTGGCAAAATATAGATATCATGTTAACCAGTGGACTGGTTAGTTGTTTGTTGTAGTGGAAGTTTTTCTTAAAATGAGCGGTTTTTCTTTACTTCGAGTTACCTAGCACAATCGCAGCAACTGAGTTTATTGTATCTCAAAGCTTTAGGATTAATAAAATGTTTTTTTTTTAAAGCGACAATTGCGATGTGAATTTTATCGATTATCAATAAAATATACGAGTTTATCGATTATCAAAAAAATGGCGAGTGTCGAATTCTGGCTAAGCTACGAGGGTTGCTTTTTTCCACGAAGCGAAGATCGATTGCAAGAAAAAATAAACTAAATAAGAAGGCATTGCAATCGACCGACAGCATATTGAAAGAAAATATTGTACGTCATACAAAACCATATTATTTGAAAACATTTTATGTAAATCAACTTAAAATAATCGTCGACACACTTTTTATACCACTGTTTTCTAATATATATTTAATAATCTATGACTTCTGTATACGTTCCGTTAATAACCAGTTCAAACTTGGGAGAATATTGCGTAGCAAATCATTAAAACAGTCGAAAAAACTTCCTTTTACTAAATAATAATTTATAAAAGCTTACAAACCAATAAAAAAACATGTACAGTTCATGCGCGGTAGAAGAGAAACCTTAAGAAAACGAGACGG